TGTTCAGAAAGAAGAGTAAAAAAACCGTCAGAAGTAATATTGTGATTTATTATTGTAATATTTGTTCACAGACCTTAGTCATACGTCATTTATATGTTGGTGTAACAATAAAGAATCCTCGAGTCACCAATTGGTGTTTTGGTTTCTTCGTCCGTTATTACTAAGCGTTTCTGAGAAACTTCAAGGAACAGCGTGAGCACGAGCGTAGCAAGAGCTGGGCATTAACGGTTTATGAGACGTGGCTGACAGTTTCTGACGGTACAACGTCAGTTTTCGACGGGTTTGGACCGTTGGTAACAGTTTGGATAGTTACCGTTCATCTTTCTTGGTGCCGGTCAAGTCCTCTATGAACAAGCAATATCTGGAACGTTTTTGGAATTGGATCAAGTTCAACAATGCCTGGGTCAAAAAAAGGACAGAGCGTCTTGGAGGCAAGCAGGAAAGTAAGTCATGGTAACTTGTCTGTTAATTGTAACGATGTGTCTGATGTTAAACATGACATGAATGATGTTACTGTTTCGCCGTTCAGGGATAAAAGGAACATCAAACTTCCTATATTTGAACCACGGTGTTTCGATGGAAACCCGGCCGATTATTTACAATTTGTAAAGGAGTTTGAGATCACTTTGAGTGGTATTTTATTAAATGATGAATTGAAGTTAATGTATTTGATGAGATATTGCACTGGAGATGCTTCGAGAGCTATACAGTGCTGTAAGTTTATGAAGCCAAAAGAGGGCTACTACGAGGCTATGAGCATACTACGTCAAAGGTTAGGAAGAACTTCGATGATTGTAGGGAAATTATTCGAGGCTGTTAAGGGTAATGGTGGTCAATTACAGGATGACTCCCATGCACTCACTGAGTTTTTAGATAATTTGCTAATTTACAAGAATGGAATGATTTCGATAAATCGCACGAGTGACATCAACTCGAGTTTTATACTAGAAGTAATAGCAAGACGCCTACCTACTCGACTGCAAAGGAAGTGGGTGAAGATAAGCTCCCGTATGGAGGATGAGGGTATCGAGCCAAAGTTTGATGATATCCTGAAACTGGTAAATAATAGTGTCAATCAATCTACGAGCGAGTTTGCCAGTATATTGAATCTCACCCCTAGAATAGAGCAGTCTGAGGGTAAAACGCAATCATTGATGACGAATAGGCCTCAGAGAGGTGGATATCGAGAAGGCTCCATGATGTCTAGTAATGCATATAGACCTAGTGAGTGTAACACGTTTCGTAGTACATCCTCAACAGATAAGTTACAAGATGCAAGACAAGCACGGCTGTGTTTTACACGTTTGCAAGAGGTGCATACAGAAGTGAACTGTGAACCAGTGAGCAAGTTCAGTGATAAGCTAAATGTAAACTCCAGGCCTGACTCCGAATTGTGTGACGATAACGGTGCGGTCAAGAAGTCTTTAGTTGCAACTGGTAAGCCATTGTTGAATAGAGTGTCACAGAATAGAGTTGCTGCTTCAGAGTGCAGTTCTGACTCCACAAGTTTACAAGGTATTACTAGTCAGAGTGAAGTTATAAAGCCTTTTATGATTTGCGAGGAGGAACCAAAATTGTCGACTTCTGCTATTAAAGAGTTTGAAAATGATGAAATTGACGGTAAAGTGAATATTCGTGATAATGATCATGATACTTCACAGTTGTCTTTGGTTGATCATGATGAAATGAGGGGAGTGCCTACTACTGCTAAGTTAAATAAAGGTTCTGTACAACTTGAACGTGAAGTAGAAATAAATGCAGGTGCAGTTGCAGAAGGCATGCATACTTGTCAGACCGTCAGTGTAATTGATCAGTGTGTAGCCCACCTATCATCAGATACTAGTGCTAAACCTGAGCTAATATTAAAATACAGAATTGGTGGTAATCTTGCAGTTAGACAACATTCTGAGGGCCGAACAACAACGGCTTCTGATCCACTGCTAACTTCATCAACTGGTATCAATCAGTCGTCGTTGGTGTTGTCATCCACAATGAAAGGGACGTCCATCAACTCCAGTATCTTGTGCAATGACTATGATAGTATTGGTGCGTTTGAAATGACGAAAGATATTGGTCAGTTTATTGAGGATAAGCCAAGTGTAAGCGAGAGAGTAATTGTTAAGTCGACTTTCACGAATAAAGGCATTTCTAGTTTCAAGTTACTATTTGAATGTTATTATCTTTGGTGTAAATTACTATGTTTCTACACTTGGTTGACCAGATACGTCCTATGTTTGTTCGTCATCTATATTCTACGATACAAGACATGATCCGTGAGGTTATTTGTACTGTTTGTATATATGTGTGGTGTGTCATATCAATTGGTGTTTTTTGGATTGATTGTGTTTACTCGTTGTTTTCGTACCTTGTTGTTATTACATAATTTTGTTAAAATTTTCGTCGTGCTTACTTCTGAAGTTGTTTCTAGTCTTCTACATCCGTGAATGAATTGATTGATGTTAGAGACAGCAGATGGGTCGTATTCGCCGACGAAGCTAGGGTATTGCTGAGAATGAAATGCATACGGGGATAATTGTTAGCTGCGGTCCCACACGCCGGGGAGAAAGAGTGTAAACGACTGAGGCTCGCATACGTCACCGCTACTAGAACTGAGGCAGAATGTGTGACAAGCGATTTCAGTGGTAATTGGTAGTGAGTAGATTCGAGGATGTGCGTAGAGTATCGTGAGGTTCTGCTATGGTCACGTTGCATTCTGCAAGAGTCATTCTAGCAAGTGGCGATTGTTTTACAAGATGTCGAGAGGATGCCTTTAACTGGAAGGCGCAGGTCGTCATTGAGGTGTGAGATTGTGCTGTGAGTATGCTTATGGTGTGTTGGCTTTTCTGTTTGTTTTCCATTTCAGCTCTGTCCGTGTGACCCAGGTTCTCGCAATGGCATCCAAGTCAACGTGCATTGGTCGTGATGGAAAAAAGGGGTTGGATCCGTATTTTGCCGGGGAGTGTCAATGTAGTTGAAGATTGAACGATCAATTCATGGTTGTTTGCTCGAACCTAACTTCCCCAATTTTCGCGGAGGCATCAATACGACAGTCATCGTCTCGTCGGTCGCTGTTCAGAAAGAAGATGAAAAAAACCGTCAGAAGTAATATTGTGATTTATTATTGTAATATTTGTTCACAGACCTTAGTCATACGTCATTTATATGTTGGTGTAACAATAAAGAATCCTCGAGTCACCAATTGGTGTTTTGGTTTCTTCGTCCGTTATTACTAAGCGTTTCTGAGAAACTTCAAGGAACAGCGTGAGCCCGAGTGCAGCAAGAGCTTGGCATTAACGGTTTACGAGACGTGACTGGCAGCAATCATCTGTGAACATTGGATGCTGACCCTTAGAGTTTAAGTCGACTTGTTTAGCTGGAGGCTTTCTGTCAAGCATCTTCGCCATTCGTTACTCCCTCGTGTCACTGTCGTGCATTATAACTAGCTATCCTAGCTTCCGCTTCAATCCGCGATTTGTTTCCGAAATATATATCGTAATTTGGACATCGGATTGTAGTCTTTTGCTTTACCTTTGATACGCGAGTTTCAAATACGTTAGAAGTTGTTGGTATAATATCTCACGTTAATATACCCAGTACTGTTCGCGAACGTCTATACCGTCAACATTTCAGCTTGTAGTTTCCCGTAACTGAGATCCTTACCTGTGTAGTGTGCGCATATTATATATGGAAACATGTAGAATAGATTACAATTTTATTGTGTGGGTTTATTAAGTGTAAACAACTGATGATATATGTATACACATATAAACCAATGTGCTCCATGTACTGTTTGTGAGAATAATAACCACTTTAGTTAATGACAATGTCAAGAGTTGAATGCTTTCAGTGTTTGGTTTCAACCATTGTTGTCTTAGTCTTTCTTCTAAGAAAGGGATGGCTGTCTTCATATAATCGTTCGATCCAAACCTGGCTATTCATCTATAAAATGCGATGTAATCTTCACTTATGATTCGGGTAAAGTGTCGGTTATCCCACACAAAGGTATAAACAACCAATTCCTCGAAGATGAGACGCTTATTCGCAAAAATCGAATCAGTTGATTCACCAAATTATGAAAATTATACACTGTGACATTAGCGCTATTTTGGAATAATGCAGATTATTATTATTACTCTGCCATTTATGCTTGTAGTCATTTTGTTGGTAAAAAGTATATTTATTTTTAAATCCACGAAATGGAGGCTAATATAGAGCAGCTATTGCTGCACCACCTGCTGTGAACTTTTTCACTCAATTACGCTTGTACATATAGCCACAACTTCTACGGTTCGGCGATTTTACTACTCGTGAAAATCATCCATCGTGCATCTCTTCAAACTCCACAGTCAGAAAATATCTTCAGTGGTACAGCATGAAACTGATGCAAGCCTAATATGATGGCACATAGACATCTTTAATATTTCATGGGGTTATTACAGACGGAATCTGAATATATGTTTAACAGTCTAATCCTATTTTCATATATATCCAAACCAATTTCACTTTTAACAGTTTGAGAAAGTTTGGGCACGGGGTACATGGTATGCATGACTATAAAAGTCTTCCTATTTAATGGTGAATAAGAGACAAAAATATACTGTTTCTACAGTGTCGCCCTATTTTACATTCATCAGGATATATAAAGAATTTTATGACAACGAACTACTCATATAATGTTGACCATTGAGTTATGTAGGCTGCCACATAAACATTTTTAAGAATTATTTATACGTATACAAAGCAGAAAGAGAAGATGCTGACGTAGTCAGGAGATCTTCAGATCTTCCATAAGATGAGAGACAAGACCCAACAGTTCTGTCCGATTTCCCATACGAGTGCTTTCTTCAATTCCTTCATAGGTTAAGTGGGGTGTTCAGCGATAATTTATCTTCCTATACCAGTCCTTCCAGAACTTATGCTTCGCACATCAGTGAAACGCTGAGCTTAGTGTGCCAAAATCATTTAAAAAATGTTGATGAGGCGTTTTAATCAACCATTGTGTCAACTATTCAACCTTCAAGGTTTCACCGGTATTTCGGAATTACGAAGGTCTGAGCTGCGCATTTCATTTCACTGAAATGAACTCTATCATCTTTGATGATGTGGCCAGTTCCATATTTAGGCTTAAAATGTATCCATATTTTGATATCGCCAACTATATTTTAATGAGTATAGCTGTAAAAGAAGACACCCCACAATCAGGTTTTTTGCCGTTTGATTTTTTTAACTTACTAGGTTCTGTGAGTTTTTCGCGACGTCATCCATTTTCGTGCTGGCTCGCTACTATGTTAATGTGTTTCGGTGGAGCTATACTCTCAAACTTCATCTGTGGATCGCCTTTGTTTGAGTGTTTCGATGACACAACATCAGTGTTAACTGCAACTATAGTATGGTATGTCACTAGATTTTTTGCTCTGATTTCCAGGTATCTCATCAATTATCTTCCATTTGACCTTCTTTATCGGCTTTGTAAGGTGTTGCCTGTACGCTTGCTGGTTTGCTCACTAAAAGAAGTCCAGAGAGCCAAAAAGATCTTCATTGGCGTTCATCACGGGCTTCATATGTTCCCCAATTCCCCTGTGATGTGTGTTCTCCTAGGTTTATTAAAAGGTGAGTCTATTTGGTAGGTGTTATACTTTTTGACATCAAAATCAATGTTTGTAGGTGCTGGTAGTCTTCATATTCGACCAGTCTCAAACTATGTCATGGGTATCTGGCTTCCAAGAAACAATCCATTTATAAATATCAACTTGTGAGTATGGTCAAATTTAAAGTGTTTGTTAAGTTCGACTGATTGTCGACGTATCTACTGGCTGTAAAGTTTAGATTCCACGTGTGAAAATCAACTAGTTAGAATGTTTGATGTGGTCTACGGATATGAGGAAATTCTAAGTCTTAACAAAGGCTGTATTGCGTTCTGCCGAAAGCAAAGCACTCATACATAGCTTAATGGAAAGGTGTTTTTAATGTTGAAGTAAAGTAGTTGAGTCATCCTGCCAGCGTATTATCAACTGAATCCCAAGCTGATAAACCAACTACAGTCACAGTCTCTTACAGTTTCGTTAAGACGGCCCTCTACTTCTGGCCAGCACTTACCTAGTGCTAACCGACGTCAAGCCGATAATGTACCATTTAGCTATGAGTGAATAGAAGTTCTGGAGAGGATTGCCACTCCTGAGACATGTGACTGCGATCATGCCTTAGTTCATGTACGTGTATGCCTGAGGCTAAGGAGAAGCTGTGGATTCCATATGTGTCTAACGCATCGATGCGAACTTAATTTCTCTTTTCATTATTGTATATTATTATTTTTCCTTACTTATATCGAACATAAGGCTCTGACGACACTCCTCTGTCACCACTTTCGACCAGCTCCACGACTGTCCGTACTCTCTCGTCTCTTCATATGATCCTCAATATGTTACCCTCTGGGGCCTAACTCATTGACTCTCATTCGTGTTCCATTCGACAGCCTGTATTTAAGGAGTAGATATTTAAATATTTATTTAGATATGACTACAGTACTTGCCGTTTGGTGTAAAAACAGTATTTTAAACAGTGAGTAATCTAGGTAGTTTAAATTGAGCAAGGAAGTAAAGGTAAGTGGATTTATTCAGCTTCGTTCAAACTAATCCTGGCATACTCAGAACATGACGAGAAGTGAAAGTTATTCAAGCTGACTAAAAGTCTTCGCAGCGACCAGGATCAACGAAGGACGATAAAGGCAATAGGAACAGAAAAAATACTGGCAATGCATAATGCCCTACAACCTTTTAGGAAAATGACTTTTCGGAAGTTATGACAAGTAAGACGACATCGAAGGAAGATGGAATTTTCGTAACTTTCCAAGGGAAATAACTAGAACATTGCGTATGATACCTTAAGTACCAGTCAAGTTAGTCTGCGTATAGGCTACACTTGTCCACCACTGTACGTTAGATGTGGGATGTAGACACGAGTCTTCTAACTGATGTCGAGGTTTAGAAATAAGTTTCCAATCGATAAAGGTCAAAATAGCAGGATCGGGTGGTTCTAACCATAGAGTGTTCAATACTTCTGGCGTGAAACGTTAATCATTCCGGTTTATAACAAACAGGAGAAATTCTCCTGTCGTAACTAGAGGGTGATCAGCTTCACTTTTATATTACCTAATATCCTGATGTCTATAATCCCACTGAAACTAAGTAGGGTTTACGGAAAGAAACTCGAATGGACGGGACAGGTGTCAGGATTGGACTTGAGTACACTGATCAATATTCATTCAAAATTTTCTGCAGCACAGACATCCAGTGCTGAAGATGTTTATTCACCCCAACTCTTTGCTTTACTCTGTCATTCAAAAGGAGTTTCAATATATATCTTTGAAGAGTTTCGGGTAAGTATTGTATGTTATTCAAGGTACTCCAGTCTAAGTCCTGCGACAGCGTAAAAGTCTATGGAGACTTGTCATCCAAAGTGACAATATCGAGAATATTCAGACTATCGCAATAAACACCTCCTACCTTCAAGAAACACCATGTGGATAATTAATGGAACAGCTCATTTTTGTTGAAAACCTAAGAAATATATTTTTCGATGAATCTTTATCGTAGACTTCTTCAAGAATATTAAGTAAGATAGTCCAGCTACACAAGTCGGACGCGTACTAGTTTGTTTGCATATGGCTTCGAGATACATGTATAATTCATTGGCTTTAACATCCGACTTTCAGGTGGTGGGTCAAGGGTCCTGAAATTGCTCCATCTGCTCTAGTCCGGACGATGATTATCAGCTCACAAATTGAGTGTGGCTGGTATCTGAACGCATAGAATTCGTTCCAGGGAACTGGATTCTTCTTATCTACTCACTTGAGATCATCCTGCAAAAGCATAAAATCTACGTCACTACTGCCAAATACCTTGGCACTTCGTTTATTTATGAGCTACACAGACTCTATTAGGCCGCTTGTTATAAAAATAGATCTCGGGCTGTGTCAGTGTATAATTCCCTAAGAGAACAATCTCATTTGATAGAACATTGTGATACGGTAATATTTATTTACTGATGTTTCCGCTACTACTTGTAATATTGTATATCAAATATGATTGTGCATTCATGGAATTAGATCGATTATTGGCGTAGTCTTCGTGCAGATATACATCTGATGTCAGGGAAATGTCAGATGAAATAATGAAGGTCGATTGTTCTGTGCAGCGCTCCATACTTTTTCCTACTAAAGATTTGCCAGATGTTGTTGCTGAAGGTCAGGGATATGAGTTGAAAACTCTGGTAATACATCAGTCCCCTTGAGGCTACGGATATGTCTTGTTGACAAGTGGCAATAGTTACGAAACCTAGGCAATGGGAATCCAACCATTCAACACCAATGAAGGGTTTAAGGTGTCGACAAGTCTCCTAGTGTGGATATTGCATTGGGAATTTGACTGGCAGAATTCAATCAACACTTCAGGACTTTACAATATAGAAATGGTTACTTCCTGACTGTCTTCTGCTTACACGCTTCTTTGGAACTTCTGGTTCCTAGATATGTGTTGAGTTTGGTTGAAATACAACCTGCTGTTTCTTTTCACTATATTTTCTAAGACATTTTATCTCTGTGACACTTTCTATGCTAGCTTACAATTACCAAAAGTATTTATCATCCTTACCACTTATTTCAAAGTAGTCTTTGGCCAGAGGGTCAGTTTCTACTTAAAAATATGCAGTATGGAAACCCTTCTTCATTATATCTATGGCCTTGCTCCATAAAATACTGCCCTTTATTTACTGTTTTTTCTTTGCCTACTTTTCATTTATCAAGCACCTCTTTTTAATGATTTAGGTGCAGGCTATTGTGAGATGAAACTAATACAGCGTCTTGTTCGTGGTGTGTGGCTACCAGCGTCTAATGAATTTCTCCACCCCACTTTGTAAGACATTGTAGTTTGTTTAGAATACGCATGGGGTTATGCATGCATTTATATTTGACTGCAAATACGTTAATTTCTGGTACTTACTGCGTTTGCGCATGTCTCCGCTTTTGTACTGTTGGTTAGTATTATCTCGTTGTGTATCTGTTTCTGTAGCACAACAAAAATCTCGTTGCTGGCAGCTATGGCATACTATAGTCATCACTTGGAGTTAATACCTTTACCGGAAAACCAATTATTCTTGGTTATAATGGGTTTATTTGTTTATCTTCGGTAAGTACATTGCAAATAAGTTTAATCTTATTGAAGTTATTGCCTGTATCGAAACCTTCGCTACTGTTTATTTTTGTTATTTTTAAGACTATTCGATATTTAACTGTGATCTTCCAGATAGTTTTAACATTCAAATAATATAAATTGTTTGCATCTTAGCCTCTACCTATCAATAATGGTACAATCAGTTACACACGGACTGTTGTTTTGTTGTGAGCAAATGCACACCTAATTTTTACGTATTTCCAGATGTTGAAAATTTTGTTGAGCGACAATTACTCATTTTATTCTTTAACCAATGAGTTTTATAAATGGAAAAAGTTTTGTGAAAATTGTGTATCCAAAGTTTGCGTACAGGTGCATCATGACAGTTTGCCGCACTTCGCCATATAACATGAAACGAGAGCAGAAATAAAATGAATATTGGCATAAAAGGGCAGAATAAAATTGATGAAAATGTTCGGAATACCGACGACTCTGAAGGCTAGATACCTCTATGGCATTTTGTTTGATCCTAAGCAATTTCACCAAGAGTCTCAAGCTACTGATTCTTAGCATTCTGAGTACTAGAATCAGGCAAATTACGTGACTGTGAAGGGCAGTTATAGACTTTATGAATTTGGACCATGTTTGGACTCATTTACCTCAAATAGATTCTTCATGTACAAGTCTATGAACCACACCTATTGTGTATAGGCCGATGGTACTACCCAGTTCCCTATGCTGAAATAAGTGGGGTGGTATTGAGACTGTGGGCCTACTGACTGAAAGATGTATGTCAAAGCTAACAAGCCAATATAATTCTTGGCGGCTCAACATGTGTAAATTACACCAACCTCCCTATTTAACTGTGTCTCATTAATTTGTTGAATGCTATGTGGTACTCAATAAACATAACATTTGGTATAGTTTCTTCTTTCCATTTACGTAGATATCGATAGCAAGTGTTAATAAATTTTCATACGCTTATTTCCCTCCATGGATTTGAATAAAGCAAGAACAAAGATTTGTGAGAAATAAAATGTTATCATCGTTTATTTCATAGACTTGTCACCAGTTACGTCCACCTTAGAGAAAATGTTTTAGTGTTCAATTATAAGTTTGTATCGATGTGCTTTTCTGCATTCAGGTTGTGTTATTATTAGCTGTTCGAAATGACTGGAATTTGTTTCGAGACAGTGAGAGATTAAGTAGCCTACTAGAATTATTTTGCCCTGTTTTACTACCCGAAATGCATAGACTAGGCTTCTCTTATAACATGTACACTCATTTCCGAGAACAATAATTTCTCTGGAAATGGCCGTATAGCTTTCCTGATCACCTGCTACATCAGGTTTTCATCAATTGTATTATCACTGTTTAGACAAGTATTTCGTTAAATTGTTTCGATAAAGTGGTCTTATCATTTACTTCATTGACTGATAAATTGAGTCTGTATCGATACGCTAATTGACTTAAGCATCATTTCTCTTGGAATTTCCCTCTAGATTTCTACTAATTTCCAGCCGAATTTACTTAGTTGTTCACATGTGTTAATATGGAGGAAGATATACGACACTAGTATATGATGTTCATGAGGACAGAATGGATGTTTATATCGTGTGGTATTACAGTTTATTCTGTAGGTGACCGTTGATTGTCTTCTTTTACCATTTCATCCCTCGGTGTGTATAATGGGGAATTTGATAAGCTAGTGAGTTACACCAATCCCCAAAGATATTCATTTGCTTATTTATGTTCTTCAAACTAGTTAGAATCGATCATACATGATTTTTGGAGACAACCTTGTAATTATTGATTGATCCAGAAGGCTATTTTTGAAAATAATGGAAGCAGGGAATATAATAATAATAAGCTACACCAGATATAAACCCAATATCTTACAAAATGCCACTAAAATATTTTGCCAACTGAGCTATTTTCATTGACAGTCACTTCTTAGTTAGTTCTTTAGGCATGCTAGTAAGTCTATGAATGAATGCTTGTGGCATATGATCTGGTTCGTTGTTTCCTGGCTTCTGGTTCAGTACAAACTTTCTCGATTTCTCTGTATTTGACCAAGGTAAAGTGAGCTTTCTTTTCTTGTTAACTAAGCCTGTCCGACTTGGTTTATAGTTTAGATTATGAAATCATGTCTCTGAATATACTTTTCTTAAAAGTAACCGAAAAACGTGTATCATTGGAACATGTAGGGGGATGCATACATGTTAACAATTTCGTGCTATTCTTCAGAGAATAATTACTGAGAAAGTCATTCGGAAGATTTATTGAGACAAGGATGCTGGTAGTCTTATTTTAACTTAAATCAGTTTGACATGGATCTGTATTGGGAAATCCTGAAATAATAAGAATTTGACCATCGAGATTTTATTTCCAAAGAGATATGCTAGTCTTTATCCTATATGTTGTAATCCATCTTGTGGTATGATGCCTAAATATTTTAGTGGGGTTGTTGTTATTATTTGAGGTAACTTTTTGTATCTTAGACATCTACTTAGTTAGCAAGTGTTAACTGATACAATCAGTCCTTAATTTGAGTCTAGAACACGTCCATCGATGGATTTAGCAATATGGATACGAATTTAAAAACAGCAAACTATCTCTATACACGATAACAAATAACTGGTCGCTCAAGTAGACTCCAAACTACTTCACTGGGTGCTAAAGCCGTGGTCTTTATCACGGAGTTGTGTTTTAAAATACTGTACGTGATATTGATAAAGTCGTTTTTGCATTTGTTTAGCAAATGTAAACTTATGAGCGTAGATTCTTTTTGTTGTGGCTCGTCAGCTTCGTGTGATGAGTGCTGCGGGAATAAAAACTCTATCCATCCACTTAATCCTAATTAGATGGGTGGTGTCACATATAGTCACACTTCACACTTGTGCCATACTCTAACATATGGACTTATACTAAGTTACCAAATTGCATAAATCACATAAGTTTTAAAATTTACCTATCCCAGTGTTACTTTTTTTGTTATCACGTTCTTGTTCATAGTGTGGTTTTTACCTGTTCACACAGGCATGCACACTTCGAAATAATTCTGTTTGTTTTTCCTTCAGAATTACAATGATCCTACTAGGATTGAAGGACCCCTTTGTGCCTTTTGAGAATGCTGTATGTAAAATCATGTTTGGTGGCACTGTTGACGCTATTCGCAGTGCTTTTGAACGCAGTCGTAGTAAACCATCTGAAACTGTTCCACCTAATCTATCAAGTGTTAGTGGAACAACCAGTTCGACCGCAACAATGAATATGCCTGGAAGTGCGAACTTTTCTTCAACTGGTGCGGGTACAGGACAGACTAGTCCAGGTTTAGCCAACAGTAATGCGAACAGTGCAAATTCATCGGGGATGAGGGAAGCGGTCAGTCGTCAAACTCCATCACCAAGTGACAAGAAACGTGACTGATGCGTGTACTTAAGATAACTACTAATAGAACTACATTGACCTTATAATTTATTGGTCAAAATTCAACCATTCTCCTTTTATGGAAATATTGTAATGTATTCCAGAAATTATGCCGTAGTTGGCATATTATGTATATTAGAAATCTGTATCAGTGTCTGCCTGCTTCGTCATGTGAGAATCGATATTTGCTGAATAAAAAAATAGGCAGTCAGTCTACTTTTATTAAACGACACGCTTGTAACTGATTGAATATATATATATATATATATATATATATATATTATATATATATATATCTTATGTCAAACTGGTTTTATGATTGCTTTTGAAACAATGCATGGAAAGGTTGGCTGTTGTCTTTTCACCTTGTACTTAAATTACTTTAAATAAGTAAGTTACCAACACTTAATAAACTTTAGTGAAAAATCTGTACTTTGCATTTTATTTCTTTCTGTTTCCTCTCATTTCCACTCAATAGTATTTTACTTATAAATTAGTCTACAATACATTGTTAAATATGGAGATTTTCCCAATTGTCTTCCTTTTCCATTGACTCTCTCCCTCTTATTTGTCCATATATTGCTCTCTGTTATAGATCATGGCCTTAAAGTAATGTTAATTTTATCTCGTAAAATGTTTTGAATCAACCAAAAACAGAGGGGTGACAATTATTTGCTATTGTTGAAGCTTTAGCGTGTAATCATTCTCAAACTTGGTGGAATATGAGCGAAGGTGACATAAAAGCTCCGAAAAGTCAGCAGCAGGCAGAAGATGAATACTTGAAGGATTTTACAGATCCTTAGCCTTCAGGCGATCGCGGAATCCTCAAAAACGTTCTGCGTCGGTAGACTTGAGAAGGGAAACCGTGAGTTGAGTTAAAGATACTATCGTAGTGTATTATGTTGGCACCTACTATGGTGGTGATGAATACGGTAAATCTTCCTATTTCTCAGCCTGCAACTTAAGCGAGAGCACAGCAGAGACGAGACTTAGAGAAAGCCTATTTTTAATCTAATAATCTATAGTTCAAAAAGTCACCAAGGTTATTTCAGTAATTCTGTAATCATGGTCAGTAAAACTGTGGGGGTTATTTTACGTAGGCCAACTCTGACTGTCTTATTTGCAGACTGAATATGGAACACCGTATCACCTAATCTTCAACATACTTCATACTTCACCATCTGTAGTCAGTCCTCAGAATGACTTTAGTTGTACGATGATATTTTATAAATTATTGAATTGTAGTAAGGTATTTTGGGAAGGGTTTTGTTTCACTACGTATAATCGTTGCAATTCACCTACCACTTTCATACGATAAGCTATACAATATGTATGCATAATATGCGGTCTGTTAATAGTATGTGACAGTTCAGAACCTAATGGAAGATGGAGAGTTGAAATCAATGGCTTATTATTATTATTGCTCCCTTGGGTTCCTAGTGGAACATAGGGCTTCAACTGCACGTCTCCATTTTCTTCTGTCTTCTGCCGTACTTGTCGCCTGCATCCATGTTAATCAATATTCTTTCAACTCCTCTTCACACTATCTCCTCCATGTCACCCTTGGACGTCCTACACGCCGCTTCCCTTTCGGGTTCCACTTGAGGGCTTGGCGCGCGATGTCACCCAGCGGTCTCCTCAGCGAGTGTCCGATCCATCTCCACTTTCTCCTGCATATTTGTTGGCCGATTGGTTCTTGTTTTGTTTGTTCCCATAATTCCTTGTTGGTGATTCTTTCCGACCCGGCCATCTGATCTTCAGTATTGAGCGAAGACAGTTGTTAATAAAGGTCTGCAGCCTTTTGGAAATATTCTTTGTGACCCTCCAAGTTTCTGATCCGTATAGAAGAACTGACTTTACGTTTGTATTGAAAATCCGAATTTTGTTGTTGATGCTGAGTGACGATTATTTCCAGATTGATTTCAGGCTGATGAATGCGTTTCTCGCCTTCCCGATTCTCGCTCGATTTGACATCCTCGTCCGCTCCTCCTGTAGCTGAGACAATACTCCCTAGATAAGTGAATAAAGTAACCTCTTTCAAATCCCTCCCGTTGATGGTGATTGACGTTGGATGTTGTTGGCTGGTTATTTTCATAACCTCCGTCTTGTTTATGTTTACCTGGAGTCCTGTCTTTGCTGCTTCTTCGACCAGTTTGTCGGTTTTCGCTTGTAAGTCTTCGATTTTGTGTGACATCAAACATAAGTCATCCGCGAAATCCAGGTCTTCTAGGTTCTTCAGGTCGGTCCAGGATATTAAAGTTTATGTTTCAAGTTTAGTATTAACTTGAGTTATGCAGTTGTAGTGTATACATTCGAATCGGCTGATGTTCCGAACTTTCATTATCGCAAAGTAACAACTGTTTGCAGCGGACTTAGATAATTGTTTAAGAACCTACATAAGTTTATATCGACTGAGAATTAGCCTAATAATGGCTAAATTGTTCATGATGAAATAAAAGGGAGTCCTTCATAATATTGTGTGACTGACTGTTGTGTAGTGGTTGGGCTGGTACATCACGGTTATCCGAGAAGCCTCATATATGCACAGTCTTATCTTCCTGTTGCAAAAACACTGCGATTACTTTATATTTTAATATTTATTTGTGAAATTATGTATATTAGAGTTAAGTCTGATGAAATCTAATTGAAAACAATATTGTTCGCCTGAATGAATCGTTCTAAATTTTGCAATAGGAATATTTTGATATTTCGTGGAGAATCTATTGCATTCAAGGCGCTCAATGAATTCCTGAGGTTTAGTACAAGGCTCACTGAATCGGAAACATCGTCGGTACTTTTAAAGAATGTGTAGAAACCAAATGTTATCCTAAACTATATTGGAGGTCGTTAGACGAATGGGAATTTACCCTAATTCTAAGATTTTAAAAAGACATGCCCTTAATCGGACTGATTCTGTTAAAACTCTTATAAATGATCTAGAAAGGAACATATCACAAAGACAATTTTCAGTTGATGATTCACCTCAGGAATTACAGTTTATGTTTTTGGAATATGTTAAGAACGTAACAGTTAACAGAAAGATTAGCCTCATCAAACCTCTTGAAAGCCGAAAGCTTGGAAGGGAATTTCCATCAGTTCCGGGCTGGTATAATCACAATTTTTCCATTGTCGTGCTTAATAAGTTTCATCTAAAGGTGTTATCTCTAGGTTCTAAATTCAGTGACTATGATCCTAGAGTTAGTCAGTCAGACAGTTTGAAAATTTGTATTCTCAAACGTCTAACCTTATCCCATCATTGGACGATGAACTAACTAGGCCCAAAGCGACACTCGTTGACAGCTGCCAACAATAAAAAAATAATAAACATTCAGCATATAGTCTGTTATCTAATCAACACAGACAGGCTCTAAGAGAACTTAAAAGCAATAAAGGCTTAATTATTAGCAAGTTGGTTAAAGTTGACGGTATAGTTCTACTGGATAAAAGCCATTACGTTGAGAAAATGGAAGGTATTTTGAGTGATCAAACTAAATTCCAATCTCTTGCTAGTTCCAAAGACGGAGAAGCTATTGAGCGACTCTCTCAAAAAATTGAACCAAAAAGAAGTATTATCATCAGCCATGTACGCGTCTATGAAACCAACGGGTACCAATACTCCACGTCTACCCGAAGAGCACAAACCGAGTCTTCCTCTTCGCCCTCTTTTAGATATGTATAACTCTCCATTTCACGGAACAGCGAAGTGTTTAGTGAAAATTCTATGACCTTTGTACAGAGAAATCGTGCGACAGAGAATTAGTGATGTCCTCGACTTTATTTCTTAAATATCCGAGACTAATATTAGGGATAAACGTATGTTATCCTTGGATGTATCATCACTATTTGCGAATGTACCACTTATGGAGACGGTAGATTACATTTGTCAAGAAATCACCGATAGGACTTAGGAATTCACTTGTGTAGCCTCAAATAATTACTTCTTAGATGCACTTTGTCTCCAATAATTGATACTATCGACGAGTAGGTGGAATAGCTATGGGTTCACCATTAGGCCAAATATTAGCTGACTTTCTCCTCGCAAAATCTGAAAACGGGAAATTGAAAGACATCATCAAGGAGTCTCATATGTGTTACCATCATATCAATGATACGTTTATCTTAGCTGATGGGAATGTAAACACAGATGAATTGTTGGAGAAATTCAACAACATCCACTCTCCACTTACCTTCACTTGTGAAGAGGAGCGGGATAGTAAACTACATTTTCTGGATGTCTTGCTAAGTAGGTGAGAAGATGGGTCACTTAGGAGAAGCGTGTATAGAAAAAGCACATTCACAGGACAATACAAACACTTCCTTAGTTACGTGCCACTGAATATAAAATAAATATTGTGAAGTTTCTTACGAGAAGTGCAAGAAACATATGTAGGGATGATCATTTACTAAAGGAATCTGAATGTATTTATGACTCCTTGACGGAGATGAGTCATTCGAGTAATTTCATAAAGAAACATATAAAAACGCTGGATAGAAAACCTGAGATTATCACAACACTGGAAAATCTCTATTTATCAAGTTACAATTTATCGGTGACTTTTCAAGTGCGATTTCATTCCAAAGACTTTCTAGGAATATACGAAAACCTTTTTTACCCAGGAAAATTGTCTGTCATTCTCTAGCCAACGAATGGACTGGGACTTAAACGAAGGATAAGCTATAGAGTTTTGCCACGTCTCTGTATGTTCATCAATTCAGCTGCACCTTCAGTTGCTGTTATGTTGGGCATACTACTAGACGGCTTAGTCAATGTGTTACTGAACATCTTCCACCGTGGTTTGGCAAAGGACAGACAAAAGCCAACCATAGCACCGTTTTGTCACATTTGGTTGATAGTGGTCATTTTATAGAGAGAACGAAGGCATTCAAGATGATTCATTGCATCCCACGAGTCTTTCCAGTTGAATTCGTATTCATCTACCGCACACAGCTGAATCGATGAGCATTCAAAAGAAGTTCGTACAGCTATTATCCCTCGTTTCGCCTATTAAGACCTAATAAACTGATGACGTCATCACCACCTCTTACTTATATTTTCAACCCCTCTCATCCCTAATTCTTATCACATAATAATAATAATAATTTACTTTATTCCAAAAACAGTACTTGTGATACAGAATGGAATTTTCAGCATTAATCACAAAATTGCATCTAATTTCCTCAAACTATAAATAAAAATTAATCACACAGAAAATTTTCCACATTTACAATAGAGGTAGTGTCAAAAACATGCAGCATATAAAATGGAAATAATAATAATGATGATAACAGCTAAGGTAATAATAATGATAATAATACAAGTGAAAATTTCCGTGGGCTTGTTTCACACAGTATTGGCAATGTGGTATAGAAATCCTAGCATGTTTACAAATATTGAATATAATCTTCTCTTTACATGATGTGGTGAGGGGGAAACAAAGACTACAGCAGTCATAGAGATAAGTCGGTGTTTGCAGTTATGAGAGTAAAACAAAGAAGCAACAGGACCATAAATATAATAGAAATAATAAAAGTAAAACTTGAAGGTATATTAGGATGGATGGAGGAAATTATTTATTTACTAGATGAAAAAAGGTTAGTTAATTCTTGTCTGACACTATTTCTATCCCATAAAATACGTGACAAGTATGGTATCATAGAATTTCTAAACTTAGACGTGCGAGCATACAGTTTTCTGAAGTTACTTCTTGTTCTGTCTAGGAAGGAGATCCAAGGTGAAAGCTGAGGGTAAAGTGGATGCTCCATGTCAGACAAAATCCCTCTAGTAAATTTATTGCACGAAGTCAAGTGCCTATCGACAACGACATTAACTATGTGGTCCACTGGGACACCACTCACCCTACTGACCGTCTTCAGCATTCTACGAATTGTGACGTAGTCCTTTTTAAGCAAACCAGGGAAGAATAAGGATGAACAATAAAGAAGAATAGGTAGGATGCAAGAGTTTATGAACTGTAAGAGGAGGGGTTGAATTATACCCGAGTGTCTTCTTAATGTAAAATGTCAGGCGGAATATTTTACTGGGGATTGCTAAGACATAGGAAGTCCAGGAGAGATCAGAAGAGAGAATGAGTCCAAGATACTTAATTTCTGATTTGATTCCTATATTATTGTCATCAATCTTACAACTGTCATGACAGTCGATGACTTCTTTTAACTGTCTTTTACATCTTAAGCTGAAATTAACAGTTTGACATTTAGAAGGATTCAGTTGAAGACCGTTAGACTCAGACCATTTGCTCACTCCCGATAGAAAGCTATTGATTTTAGTACAATATAGCTTGGAGTTAACAGCCATTGAAACCGTTAAATCATCAGCGTACTTCACAAAGTTTATTTCATCAGAGTGAGGTGAGTCATGCAAGAAGAAGGAAGAAAGAAAAGGAGAAAGGACAGCGCCTTGAGGGACACCAGCTTTAGTAGGCAATGAAGTGGAAGACTTCCCTTTATACACGGTGTACTGCTTTCTTTCTGAGAAATAGGAATGTAACCAGTTAACAGCCCAACATTCTGTTTGACTTGCAGCAAGTTTATTTGATAAGATGTCCCTAGGGACCGAGTCAGAAGCAGATGTATAGTCTGGGAAAGCATAACGAACAAATTTAGCCGCCTTGTCTTGACTGGAAGCAATGTTATGATATAAGACGGCAGCTGCATCTCAAGTGTTTCTACTGTGCTTATAGGCAAATTGTTTAGGGTCATTAAAGGATTTTAGTGAAGGTAGAAGACTAAGTAAAAGTAATTTCTCCATAGTTTTCAAAAAAGGAGAGGTTATAGCAATGGGTCTAAATTTGACACACGCTCCAGTAGGTAATTTAGGTATAAGGTACATCTTTAATGTCCTTCCAAACGGCAGGCACAACATCACTGGAAAAAGATTTGTTAAACAGATCACTGAGTGAGTGACACAGAATATCAGAACATTTTTTAAAAATAATACTAGGTACATAATCTGGACCTAAGCTCTGGGAAGGGTTTAGAGACTTGAGGCACTTTTGAACATCATTTGTGTTAAACCCTGGAAAGGGGCTATTATTAACACAAGTGATGCTGGGAAGCATGAAGACATAATTTACTTAGTCGGTCCATTTGTTTTTCTTAACTTCTATCGACTACTTCTACCTGAACATTTGTTTATTTAATTATGCTGTTTTTCATTATTCTTGCCATCACAGATATCTCCAGTTTTTCATCTGTTACTGACAAAACGATCATAGTTATCAGTGTTAATATTATGGCTAATTGCACAATTTATATGCATAATATTACCCTTCTATTGACAAAACACCGTGATTGGTTTATGTACTAAACTGTTAAAAGTGAACTTGGTTTGGATATATATATATATATATATATATATATATATATATATATATATACTGGAGTTAAACCTGATGAAATATAATTGAAAACAATGTTGTTTGCCTAGATGTGCTGTTCTAAAACTGTTGTTCTCCTTCTTTAGATACATCTAACAAGGAACAGGCGCTAATAGTTAATAGGATTATTCAATATGCTAAGTAACAATCCACAGAAACACTCACGACAGTTGTCAGACATCTTCAGAAAATAATTGGCGGTGTGGTTTAATACAAATACACAAAACAAAGCTAACGTTTAAATCGACTTACAGCTACTATAAACCTCATAAAGCACTTGGCTGTGGTGATTTTCATATCCTCTAAAGAAGAAAGCGATTTTTTAGTCAAGGTTAAGCTAGAGAACATGATAGACGTTTTCTTCTGCAACATATGGTTTCAAGCTTTGAAATTTCGGTAGTGGTGTTGTTTCAAGGGAATGGGGTTGCTAGCCTTACACCCAACTTTCTCTCTCTTCTAGATTTGCCAGCGGCTGGACAAGGTTTAGCAGTGAGTTGGCCAGGGATGAGACAGACACCACGTAAGTCGTTTACAAGCATTCTACCATTAAACTGCCGATGCACACGACAGGGTGCGTAAAAGCAATATTAGATGAAGTTACTATTTTGTCTACACTTGAAATGGCTTCATGTAAAAGCTCCAATGGCTGGTAACCACAGCTCACACATTTTGCAACCCCGTCACCTGCTAATTTACTAGTAGTAGGTTGTACTTTAAACAGTTCGCAGTATCATCATTTGCATGTGCATCTTTCGTCATGTGCCCAGGCATCATAGAAATATTACTAGTAAACAGCTGTTTTCGTTTCTTAGATTAATCGGATAGGACTGTTCTTCAGAAAAGTACGTTAGAAAAGAGTTTTTCTGATATGTCTATTGATATCTTGAAGTTCCTGCATAAAAAACAGGTAGAATATGACCATTTAACACCTTTGAATTTAGGTATAGTTACTAGATTTGTCCTTCTCGTTTAGCCTTTCCACCGATAATACTACGTACAGATCTCAAGGGATTGAATGAATGTCAAAATAGAACATCGGACAGAAGTATGGCAGTTCAAGTTCCTAAACTCCACGTGGCACACAAAGGAAGGTAAAAGAGAGGGGAACAAAGGATTAAAAAAGTCTATAATAAGCAGATAACTGACGAAGAAAGAATAGTTAAATGGAGAAACATTAGGGTTTAGTGGATATCGGAAATCACGAGTGAATAAATTTACGCCAGTGAGAATAACACTGAGTCATTTCCCAGATTTTAGAATCCCGAGGACACTAAACATGAAGCCTGCACCGCCCTACGTGGTTCAAACTAATTGTCAAGGCTTTCATGGACTGCTCCTTTACCATAAGTAACACATGTCCAAGCCATTTCAGTCTATGTAGTCTAACAACCTCATAAATTGACTTTCAATCCTCACCTAACGCTTGATGCCCAACCTCAATATTACTCAAGCTATGATTACCGCCCAACACAGGGGATGGAACCCGGACACTTATGATCAAAGGCAGTTAGCTTTTTCATACCTTCCACTTTCAATGGCCAAGTTTCAAACCCATAACAGTGGCCTGAGAATATCCACTGAAGTGTCTGGGACAGCTTCTATTGATTTCGGGGAAATTTCATCTAGTCTTGTTGCCTTCCCAACTGGCTTTCTGTAGCCTGCTGACATTCAAAAATTCTGCTTTTGTTGGTATTCACTGGCAGTACTGTGGCTTTTGCTGGTAATTCTGGATGAGGGGCGATCGGTTCAAGAGTCTAATGAAGTGACCAGTCCATTGTTTTCCTTCTTCGGTAATTAGGCCCCCTTCACTTTTTCTGGTTTCATCTGAGTTGTTCCCTTCCCGGAGACTGACTTGTTTTTCTTGAGTAGTGACATGATGTCCCTTTCACTTGCGGTGTGTTCTGCTTCATTTTTCAATGAAACGAAGAAAAGTCTTTCTTCTTTCCTAACATGCATCTTTAGTTCTTTATTCGCTGAGTCGTAGGATGAAGTCAATTTGTCTACCTCACGAGAAATATAAGCAATCTCAATATTGTGCACAGTTAAGCAATTTTCCCTTACTTAGAATATGACATCAAACTGCTCATTCTAAACCACAGAATTTGACCTTTGAGGCACAACTTAAGGAAAATACACTGATGACCTAGTCGTAATCTTCTATACTGAACACAAAATTACCGACTGATGTCTTAAGTTAATTTAAATGCAGTTCATCAGTTTGTTTTATAAAACACTGTTTCTCAGGATGTGAAGCCTTTAATGAACACGCAATAAAACTGGCACATAATTAGCAAACTGATAAACCCTAAATTGACATTTTTCAAAAAATAGATGGATTCTTACTGCTGTCCACTGATTTCATCAATGTACCCAGAGGCAATTTTCCAACCGTTAATAGGAATTAATCTTTATAAGCAGTAGTATATAGCACTCATGTCATAGTGAATTTAAAGAAGAAAAAGCTATATGAATGACAAATTATCACATTGAGTTATAAAATGAAGACGTAACAGCAGTGAAATTCACTCTTGAGTGAGAATCAAAAGTACATTTTTCAGTCCAGGACGTGTTACATGCCAGAAGATCAGACAGTTCCATCTACCAAAAACCAATATATAATGAACAGTTCAGAAAGGAGAACCTAGTAAGTTCATTATGGTCAAGGATTCTAAAATATTGTATTATAGAATGGAAATCTATTCAGATCAAATGATCGAAATAGAAAAGGAGAACTGCCGTCAGTGAACGTCACAACTTTTCTTAACGAAACTATCTTGATGGACCTTAAGTTCAAAGGTGACGCTGGAGGCGAAATTCTTGATAACCATCTTCCGGTGTCTGAGAAAAAGGCGTTCCACGCCACTATCTTGAGAATCTGATTCACCAACACACACTTAATCCAGTCACATGTTAAGGACAAAATACTGGTTTTTGTCGTCTCAGTATGCATTTATCAATTTATTTATTTCTGTAGAGCAAAGTATATTGGCCGTAGACAAAATCAAGTTCATAGACATTATTTGTTTCACTGACTAGACTGGTTAACTGAAGGAGAAACGAAGAATATTGACATCTTGTAAATTCTTGACGTTGGGCGCCCTCAGATTTCTCAAATATCAGATAAAAGGAATTCGAATACGCAATTTATACACAATGGAATTACTGGTCATACGAGACCTAAAATCAGATTTCTGTGTTCAAAAATGAGACAACTATTTAGCCACCGAAATTGACCAGGATGACATTCTTCCCATAATTTCATTTCACTGTTCGATGTTCAGTCTATCATTATTATTATTATCATAATCATCATTTTTATGACGATTTATTAATATCACTTCATTTCCCATACATAGTTCATTTAAACAGTTATTGTATTTCCACTACTGTTTGCACAATTGGTTTATTCACATTGATCGCGCCACTCTTGAACTCTGCACTTCTTTTCTAGATTATTCCCCGCATTACGTGAAATATTCTCTAGAACATAACCATGATAAAATTTGATTAGTTTTGCTAAATTCTCTGTTGAATATAAATACGATTATTCAGCTTTTGGAAATGATTCATAAAAATGAATAGAGTGTAAAGATTTCATTTCATGATCATTCGTCTGAGTATATCTGAAGAGACTTTACAATTACAAAACTTCATAATACTCATCAAAGTTCTCTTTCACCTTTCCTGTGAACCGATCACAACTTAGACAAAGCTAGTGGAAGGTGTGTTTTTCATCACTAAAAATAAAAATTTACATTTTTAGACTAAATTATGCGTTTTCATTATTTATACAAAACAATAAGCAAATAAATGTTCTCAGTACAAAAATGCAGAGTTTCACACGTTTATAAAAAAAACATATTCCTAAATTAAATATTAGATGTATAGTTAGAAAATAATAAGTCAAGGTGTGCTTATGATAAAGAAATAGGAAGATCACAATAATCCTAAAATAATATACGTATATGACAAATAACAAAGAGAGAAAATCAATCAGAGAGATAGAAAAGTGTATAGCCAAAATAACAAGCAGAACAAGAGAATCATAAGTTTTCTACAAAAAAACGATGGAAATAATGGGTATATTCACTATACTTGTAATCAATATCTAAGTGTTTATGGTACACATGTGCATCCTTCGGTGTAATTGCAAAGGTGTGCTGTGCATCACTAAGAGTGCTGTCGTTTTGATTATGATAATTGATTTACACATCCATGTACAATTGTTTTGGACATGAAAACAAAAAGATAATCAATAGAGTGATCGATGAAAGCAATTAGAAATACTCCTAAGTTTTAGTTGTTTGTTTTTGTGCATAATGTGTCGTCAGGTAAAACAATTGGAAATAAGGAATAATTTATAAATTATCCATCTCATGAATAATATTGAACAAAGAACAGATATTGATGCTTGAACACGTTTCCTCGATAAATTGTAATCAGGACAATATGGACAAGCGAAACTACCGCACACATTGCAAATACTGTTAGTATACAACGAGACAACGTTGTAGAGTGAATTGTTGTAACGACCTGAACGACAAACAGAAAGCATTAAAATAGATAGTAAATAATCACACGAAGTCTTAAAATAATCAAAGATGACCGCATATCTTACGATAAACATCGGTGTCAGTTAGGGGAATATCTTTAGGCAGTAAATCGCACTCTTTGGTATTTTCGTTTAAATAGACCGATAAATAAAGGCTGAAGTACACAGATGTCATTTGATTTATCAAGCGGTGTTTTTGAGAAGAACAAATTCACTCATTGGTTGTTTAGTTTAAAAAATAATGTTCACTACTTCACAGTTTATTTTGTTATTGTGAATTAACCATCTGCAAAACACAAATGTTTAGTACAGCGCTCTTCTCATGAAGAAATAGGTAAGTTTTAAAGTTTGGACATTATAAGGATCTTACTTATATGATACTCAATAATATACTCTATGTTTCATCCCTAATCATGATTTAGTTAGTAATCATACCTAACGCCAACTCCAACAGCATTGAAAAAATAGAGATGAGCGGCTACACTACTACATAAATGTATTGTTGTATATTTTTGTCTAAAAGAAGCAAAATTCACTAGAAGCTCAATGGCACACACAATTCGGGACAAGTGGGATAAAGTGTATTCGGCATAACTAATTCTTATTACTACTTTGCCGTATCCTGTGAAATCGATGCTGATTAGTAGACAAAGTGTAGCTGCCGTGGTCAATTAGATAACGCTCTGGTGTTTGAAAACACAGGTGCTGAAATCACGAGTGCATACCAGAATCATTTCTCCACTTTGGCCAAAACTAGTGCTGTACTTATTTAATTCTATCTAATTACAAAAAGTAAAAGAAAGAAGAATTCTACAGACAGCAATGGACAGTACTCCAGCTTGTGACATTAAAATACTAATGGGAGACATGAACGCCAAACTGAGACCAGACAACACAGGAAGGGAACTCATCATGGGTAGAGAAGCTCTCGGAGAAATGAATGAAAATGAAGAACTCTTCGCTGACTTCTGCGCCTTCAATGAACTAGTGATTGGTGGCAGCGTATACAAACTTAAAGATATCCACAAGGCTACATGGGTGTCACCAGATGGGTAAACCAAAAACCAAACTGACTTCATCTCAGGCGGAACAACGAGGATATCAAAGCCAGAATCGGAAAAGCAAGACAAGCTTTCATTACTCTTAAGTCTGTGTGAAAGTCAACAGCACTCACCATCAAAAATAAGATCCGAGTGATTGAACGAACTCTGCATACAGAAGAAGTTCGTTCAATCACTACACTTACAATGGACTTAATCTATCTTATTACCTGAAAAGTAAATTCTACCTAATCTTTTTTTCCTTTTTTCTGTCCCTTCATTGGTATTATTCTGTCTTCTTAATTGTAATATTTTGCATTTTCAACTTTCTTGTTCTCTACCCCCACCCGATTTAATTTCTACACCTCACTACCACTTTAATTGACCTGACCAACGCTCAATTTCTAGTCATTTATGTTACGTCATCCAACTTAATTGCTCAATTTCAGTTCTAATTGAAATGGCATTATTCTCTAATCCACTTCTTTTTAGTCTCTACCTGTAATTACCTCTGTTGCTACTCTGACCTAAGTTAAAACATTTTAGTCAATTATATCACGTCATCTAACTTACTAACTCAATCTTACTTTAGATGCTGTCTGATTAACCTTGTTTCTATATTAGATCATTCTTTTATTACCTGATCACTTATCTAAACTTGACAAACCTCATGCACATACACAAGCAAAAATAATTATATATAAATGCGATTTTACAGCTATGTGAATGAATTCACCGAAAAGAGTCTCTTCGCTGAACGTCCTCTCTTTTTCATATGACTAAATGGGGATTTTCAAGCTAGTCAAACGTTGCAATTTTAGAGTTAACAAAATCGGCTGTTTTCACAGTTGTACATAGCTGAAGCCCACTCATCCTTCTAGCGTTGCCTATCCAAGAAAAAATGGCAGAATTCCACATAGCACATACAATGTTATTCTATTTTGTAATCCATATCGCCTGTAGGTGAACTGAGGCAAATGAAAGAGACAACTTCCTCCAGGTTTCTTCCGTTGATGGTGATTGTTGTTGTTTTTGGTGCTGTTGCTGTTGGTTGGTTGGATATCTTTATTACCTGTGTCTTCCCTATGTTCACTTAGAGTTGTATCCTCGCTGTCTCCTCCACCAGCTTCTTGGATTTTGCTCTTAAATCTTCGACTTTGTGAATCATGAGATGTAAGCCATCCGCGAAGTTCAGACCTCCTAGAGTCTTCTTATCAGTCCGACGTGTTCCTGTCCTCTCGCTCCCCACGGTTGGCCTCATGATCTAGATCAACTTAATCAGGAATATCATAGGTGACAGTAGGTATCCTTATCTCTACTTCAGACGCTTCACTGGGTTGTCCACTGTGGATCACTTGACATACGGCACTATTAATATAGTTACTGAATGACTGCGACTGAGATTTGAGTCACATTAGTTCTCAGTGTTGAAGTAATTTCCAAATCACTTCACAGCCTACGCTATCGAAGAAATTTTCGAATTCACTGATAAAATATAACATAATATATGTTTAAAAAATAGTTTCTAACAAGTTCCAAAAGTAGTAAACGGTAAGTAACTCACCTGGCTCATAGTATTCATAAGCTGAACACACATGTTGTTGAGTAATGTTAGCAACAGGGTAATAACGTTCAGCTGTGAATTGTACGCATGTTTTATTGGGTGTAATCTGTGAGTAAAGACAAAGAAATAGACAAAATGACTCAGATGGTTTGACGGTGGCTAATATTTACTAAAACAAATGGATATATGAAACTTCAAAAGGATTCGCAAACCTTTACACACGCAATAAAAATATGCATAACTCATCGTTCACAGAAGTTTGTTAGTCTATATTTTAAGTGCGGAAAACATACTTTTTATCAGTTAACATACTGGGAATTAAAGTTGAAAAAATCAAAGCTAGTTTTCGTCCATAAAAGATGTTAACCACAGAGAACCAGAATACATTCCCCCCTCCTTCCTGCCAGTTCTTTGAAATATAGATTAGCTATTCTCTTTAAGAGAGAAATTGAAACCTGCAGATCTAACAGCCAGTATAACAGAACTGAGTTGAGTGACTTGAATGATTAAAAATGTGCTGCGCTTTTCAAAGATTTTTACACGCATATGAATGAACTTTACACCAATTCAGTAAGACCGACATGGAGTTATTGCTCCCTGAATACTGGGATTTTACTACTTATGCGTAGTATTAACGAGGGACTGAATGATCTGATGTGTAACGACAGTTAACTGTTCGGGATTTTTAATTCACTACAGTAATCTGGGTAACGCAATGGACAGCTGATGCCTACGTCGAAAATGTATGCATTTAAGCAACACACTTCGAACAAACTGACCACACCTTTAATTGTAAATTCAATTCATATAAAGCAGAAAGAAAATTACTTAAAATATATAAAATAATCAGAGATACAAAAATAAGGAGGCTTCATCGACATAAAAATAGAACTTTGGCACTGTTAGTGTATAATTCAGTCTTTGAGTAAACTTATTTGGTAGAATCACAGTGTTATACAGTAAATAATACAGTGTGATTTTATCAGATGAATTTATTCTACGGTGGAATAGGCCGTTATAATATATTATAATTTATTCCTTGAGCTCTGAGTAGAACAAAATGCTTCAGCTGCACAACTTCTTTCCACTTTTAATCGATTTCATGACAGCTCACAACCTTAAACTTCCCCCTCACATGATCTCTTCATTGTCAGTGTCAACCTCACGCCCAATCAGTCTATTTCCATTTGGTGTCCATTAAGGGGTCTGCCTGGAGTGTAATGGCACTTCCTTCTGTCTATTTGTTGGGTAATAGGTTGTTTCCTGATTCACCGCCAGAGTTCCTTGTTATTCATTCTCCCTGGCCAGCCACGTATTCTTCAGTATCGAGTAAATTAAGGTAGGTCTACAGTACGCTGTTAGAAACTGTTTTCATGATGTGCGTGAGAAATATCGACGCCAGACAGAAGTATTGACTCAATATTTGCACTAAAAATTCGAATTTTGTTCCTTGTGCTAATTGCTGTGGATCTCCGCACTGATTTTAAAATAATGAACGTCTATACAGCTTTCTCGATCCTATCCTGACTAACTTTAACATCATCATTTGAATCACCTGTTGTTATAATGATGCTACTCAGGTAAGTAAAAGGTACCATTTCCCTTGGGACAATGTTTCAGTGCTCCTTGGTTTCCAGTGTCTCTTAAACTTGTGTTGTTTCGCAACGAAATCTACACTGAAACTGGTCCAAATCCCTAAGAAACTTATAATCTAAAGATGATGAGTTACTAAAATGAAGTAGTAACCAAGATGATAGGTATATATATTAAATGTCACTAGTTTCATGAATGAAATTGAGTGTTTTATTCGATGAACACCACTCAGTCTTGCTGTTGGTTTCTAAATAATGTTAGTCTCTTATCTGCATGAGATGTTTTGTATTCAAGCAAATAAAGAAATTGTTTGTAAACCAAATACCTTATGTGTGTACTTTTGATAAGATAAAACAAGACAAACCAAATGACGCACATATGACAATTAGTCATTCATCGCAACGATTGGTTTATGCATAAATAGAGCGGAAAATTGTATGGGTATTATCAAACAGTTTGTAATAATTATAATTCACTTCATCAATCAACACTTACTGTATCAAAGAAAAAGTGTACAGATCTAGAACGCGTACGTGCATAGCGTAGATTTGGAACCATTAGGCTATTGACATATCTTCTAAGATCATCATTTAGAACAACAAATCCTGTGGGCAATCCAATTTCAAACACAGCCATTCCACTTTGAGACAATGGCTCAACACCCTTTGTAAATAAAGAAAGACAACTGTATAAGACAAATAACTTCAGTTAGGGGATTCTTTTAAGTTTATCTGCATTATTAATTGATTCTCATGGCGCAAGAAATGGCTGTTACGGTCTAGTGAATAATGCTTTGTTATATGAAATGGTGGGTGTTGGTTTCGAGTCTCAGTGCAATCATTACCACTCACTGAGAATTTCAGGCACATCCAGATACCAAGTCTCAGGTAGAACGAAATGCGCACTCTGGATTCCTCTGCTAATCACCATCAATCAAAATAAAACTGTTCTCTATGTGTATTTTATTCCAAACTCTCCATGCGGAGATAGTTTGTTTCAAGTACTCATTCTAGCATAACCTTAAACTGCCTCTATTCCTGGGAAATAATTCACTATAATCACATTTATTGTGTTTACTTTCTGAATTTTGGTTTCTTTTTTAAACCAACTAAGTAGATACTTAAAAAAACTAACTTCTTAACAAACAGCAGTTTTCACCTTGTCAAAATGAAAAACCTACCTTCCATTCTCTTCATAATTAGGCAATTTTATTTTTCCTAACACTGGAAACTAATTCTGGATCACTGTATGAATGATGTCAATCATCCTCCTTATTAATCAGTAATAGACAGTTACATATTATACTAGATGGAAATACGACTGCGAAGTCTATCGAGTATCATTTGATCTCTTCATAATTAGGAATTTTTAAATAAAACATGTCGATACTTGAAATACAATTATTAGTTGCATTAAACACCAAAAAGCTCCTTTTGATTGAATCAAAAACATGCATACTATCCATTTGAAAAAAATATATATGTATATATTTATGAAATTATAAACTCACTGTTGTTCCAACCCATCGTCCACATGCTGTCATAATCATGATTGAATTGTTACGACTAAGAAAACCTGGTGTGCACTCAATTTCAAAACTGCGCATAACTTGTTCTGTGTCTAACGGATTCCTTGGCATTTTTTGCATTTCTTTATATTCTACATTCACTTCTACATCCAACTGAAGTAATACTCGGCCAGTACCTTCAAGTTTCATTGTAATGTCACCCCAAACGTCTTCTGGTGGAAACTGTTATAAGGGCAAAATTGTGTGTAAAAAATTGAATCACTAGCAAAGTTTGACTTAGTTATAATTAAGTGAGTTGAAAAAAATTTCACAAGGTCAGGTTTTATGACTGCATTCATGATGATTTTTTTCAGGTCAACCCGGTTCCAGACTGAGTGCAACCCCTTATGGATTGGTTCTATTTAACAATCATTGAAGTATTAGCTTCAGAAACGCTGAATACCATCAGGAAAGACGGACATTTCTTCATGGAGAATTCCGAAAGCTCACTTCAGACTAATGTCCATGTTGAAAATGTTGTCCAGAGACGAAATGTAAAGCTGGCAATCAAGCCGTCCGGCTGAGTCAACACTAAAGAAACTCAGAGGCATTGCAACTGTCATACATAGAGTGAAAAATATGTTCAATATAGTGGTGGTGCCGTCGGTAAAGGAACTGGTATTTACCAGTGAGTTTAGGAATGTACAACTCTCATGTATATAGTTCATAAGAAAGATATAGACCAGCATTAATTATTCAGTAGAAAACTCCTTTGAATCATCACATGTATTCAATCCGAACTCTTCTGTATCTACTGTAACTAGAGTTGTATACTGTTGGTGGATTTCACAGTAGACGTAAGGCTGAACCATATTGTGAAGGCCTAGTTATCACGTATCAACACACTAGCAAATAAAGAAGGACCTGCTCATATGTAATAGGAATAAACTTGCATTTAACTGCATATCATTTAAAGTGTGATACAATATAGCTGAAAATAAGTGACAAATTAAAATTGACGAAAGCAATTCGAATTGTACTTATCATTGGTAAAGTAAGTAATTAGTAACAGTATCAAACATGTGTATTACTTGATGTCTCTACTGTGAGTGAATGGAACAATAATCATGTCTTTGTACCACTCGGAAATTCATACTGGAATTCTTAAATGAAAGTAAATGCATTGTAACTTTTGTTATCCAGTAATGTGGTTTGTTAATTTGATAGGACAGATGACATACTATGATCAAGTTTGATAATTGATTAATGTCGGTTGAAGAACCACTGGAAACCAAGGAGTACTTGACAGTCCTTTTTTCTTAGTTTGGGACACTTTAACAGTACGTGCCCACAAGGGTTCGAGCCCAGGACCTTTCGGTTACAAGGCAAGCCATGAGGACCCAATCCATAGGCCCATAAATTTCAGCTTCTACTAGTTCATGATTCTGGCAATTTTCATCGGAAAACTGGTTGATGCTTATGGTTGATAAGTCTGAAAATTACTCAATTGTCAAAAATATCAACCTCTAGAGCGTGATTTCTATTTTATTTGTAAATGCTTTATTCGTGCAACCCACTTTTATCACTTGTTGAAATTATTTTTAGGACAAGATGTGGAATCTCAAATGAAAAGAAGTTTTCATCATCTAGTTAACCAGGACGAAACTTAAACTGACAATCCATATTCAGTTACAATTCGTAACAGTAAGCTTTATTCTTTTTTTAACAAATTTAAATTGTCAAGATGAACACAGACTACCGACTGTATTCACATATAATAGAGACTTTATGTCTAAGGTGCATAAACTCTGATTATAATTAACAAAGTGGAGAAAACGAAAGCTTTCAAGGTAGTGCATTGCATCCCACCGTATCTTCCCAATGGACTTCGTATTTGTCTACTGCAAACATCTAAAGCGATAAGCATTCAAAAGAAGTCCGTACATCCATTATCCCTCTCTTGGCCCATTAAGACCTAGCGAACTGAAGACTTCTCCACCACCCTTAACATACAAAATTTATCATATGCACGATAAAAAATCGCCTGTCTTTCATAGTATTACCGTTGTATGCGTTACAGTTGAATAATTGTGCGTATCTATGTAGATACGATTCGCCCAAGTATTCATGGAGGAAATTTTCTCATCTACAGCCACTCGGTATAGAGCACGATTCGTATCAGCTAAAGCAAACTTTCTTAATGCATGCATTGCAAACAATGAATCCTATTGTACAAAAAAACATAAAAATTATTACTGAATATAAATCAAACTTTCTTGGAAATAAAATGCATTTTATTAATGCATATAAAATATGCCTAGAAAGGATAAATCTGTTCTGAAAGTCAGACAAAAGCTATAAATTTAGTTGCAACCTCTATACTAATAGAAAAGATTTATAGTTCAGATGGATGATTTTGACTAGGTTACGGTCCCTGAGAATTCAAAAAAGTCCACTGCATATTGAAGCTTGCGTTGAAGATGTTGTCTAGAATGACAATGAAGCTTCGCATTTAAATGAAGCAGCTCAAAGAACACAACCAAATCAATCTCAACAGTAGTTGGTGAACTCTGTCTGATTCTACAAGCCTTTAGTCAAAGAGTTAATCACACAATAAATAGTATTTATTAGTAACGGTACCGAATGAGAGGTTCAAATGTGTTATAAAGGACAGCCTCTCTAGAATTATATTTGGGACTTGTTTAGAGCTCTTAACTCCTCAAATCCATAAACTCCTTAGTAATCACATCAGTGCTACCGTGCACATATAAAAAATTAAATTGTGCAATCGTTTACTTAGTCGAAATTTTTGCTGACACATATTCCGGCATCAAGTCGTATTTTACCATGTGAAAACAACACTGGACTGAGTAAATAAAAGTCACATTCTGTAACTGATCCTGGTATGAATTTAGGGAAATAGTGTGTATGTTTATAACTATAGCCACTGAAAGCGTATTGCTCTACAAATCTCAATAGAATGGCTGTGGTAGAGAGTATCTGCTGCCTAATTCTTATACCAGCCACACAACACATGGGGAATAAATAAATATCTAATGATTCTTTGATTCAATGTATATCCAGCTAGTGTCGAAGTGCAGAAAGATTCATCCTGAATTAAACAAAAATGCCAAGTCACTTATCCGACGCTGTCCATTTAAACAATGTTCTGGTTTGATAATGATGCGCTTAATCAAGATTAAAGATTGTGCACACCATATTGGATAACCGAATGGATCATGAAACAATAATCGATCCACTCCTAAGGGTTGACTGAAATTCACCAGTCAGATGAGAAATGCAATCATTGGGCTAAGTAACACGACGATGTCGTACACTGAAATGCATTGTAGTTTAACATTACAAGTTAAACATCAGGTGGCAAGATGCTTTACATTTCTACAGATTATTGGAACTGGTAGTTTGAAATCCAGATGTTTTGCTTAGATGTTCCAGTAATCGATCTTGCAAACTGGTTGATAATTGACTGCTTGGAGTGCACGTCCCTCTTTTTTGTTCTAAATGAATGTGAGCAGTTAACATTTAGCTTATTTCCCCTATAGTGGCCTGTTAATAACTCGTTAGTTGTTTCATAGTATCTTCGTTATTCTTGTGAATAATCTTCCTTCCTTTACGTTCCCAGTGGAACATAGGTCTTCAGGCTAGTGGCGTGAATTTTCGGTACCAGTGGTATTTACTTCTACGGGATGGGGTCGCTAGCCTCATGTCCAGCCTTCCTTCTTTACCAGTCTTATTACTGGCTTAGTGTGGTAAATGAGTGCGTTGGTCGAGAGTCGAACTCCAGACCAGATGATTGGTCAGCGAGCATTCTACCGCTGTACCACCGACGCACAATTCTTGTCAATTAAGTTCAGTAAAATCACAAAGTGGGTAGACATACCACTGTGTTAGATTTAAACTCTTCCCTCAAAAATCTCTAGACAGGAAAATTGCTGATTTCCTTCAAATATTTTTCGTCAAATATGGTTTATGCCTAATCGTGTCAGGACTTCAGCTGAAAGATTTCAGGACACTTCGACAAAACAATACAGATAACTAACAGTTTCCAATGAGGAAACAAGATCTCAGGTATTCGGAAGAGTATCTGTTAAAAAAAACAATTATTTAGAATGAAAATGCAATCTATATATCACACACTCAAACTCAGGGGGTTCAACTAAACCACTAAGTGAAGTAAAACTAATGAGTAGATTTAAATGCTGATGCTTTTTGAGAGCCAATTTTTGTTGAGCAAAGGCCATAAATTGGCAATAATCATTGTGAAAGTCATTATCAAGAAGAAATGTTGAAGAAACGTTCGACTTTATACCACATTTTCAATGCTATACGGCTTTCTAAAAGATTTTCAGTTCAGGAACTGAAAGATGTCTATTTTTATTTTTGATTGCAGCTTGATTCCACACCGTATTTTTGAAACAAGTATGAAATTTTCAGCATATGATATCGGTAGCCCAAATTTTGCAGGCCGACCATAGATATCGGGTGAGCGCCGGCAGGGAATCGAACCCCGGACCATGTGCATGGTCGACAAGAGTCCTAACCGCTGTGCCACCGACGCCCTAGCTAGTCTACCTAGTCTTCAACTCAACTTCAGTTCACCAAAAGCACTACATTACATTAAGACTAATGAATTGATCAAAAATTTAAAACTATTTAATAATTAAATGAATTAAAGATAAGTTTAGATAAAATAAATGCTTACAAATGTACTAGCGAATCCAGCGACATGATTTCGTTCACTAGCTAACCAATGAACCATATCTAATGCTTCTGACGAACGAAATGACCATTCACCTAATTCATGTTTTAGCAAGAAATAGATGCTTGAGCATAGAACACCGTAACCATCATTTGGCATTTCCAGTCGTGGATTTTCAATTCGTCTACCAGCCTGATCTAATTCCCATTTAGGTGGCGGTATTCTATAATTAGCATAGTATACATAATCGCCTTTTTGGCGAAAAGCATCAATACGTTTCAAAGCTCTGTGCAGAAAATGGTGGGATAACAAACATATTATACATCGAAGGATCTATACGAGTGAAATATGTAAACAGTTTAGCTGTTAAATAATTGACAAATAAAGTATGAATTAGAAATTTATTCTAATATTTCTCAATAAGAAGTAAACATTCAATGGGCATATTGTTACAATAAACCAGGGATGATAAACCTTATTTAACCAGTAAGTCGCAGCACAATGCAAGAACAGTACGAGCGTTTTTAAAGATACATAGAATTTAAGCTGAAGATCACCGGATTCCCATCATAACAATGTAGGCCAAGTAATAAAACTCCTTATTTCATCTAGGTTTCATAGAAAAATAGCATTTCTGAAAAATCTCAGATTAGAACAAGTTGTATTTTCCGCAAATTATTTTTCTACAATCCAGACGATAAATCTCGATTCTTGAAGAACTTGGAAATATGATATCAACACACACAGATGCACAAAATCAATTCTTTAAAATGTCTTAAGAGTATTTATAAACTAGTTATATTATTTATTCATGTATTACTTATAATGGTTAGTTAGTAGACATTTGATTGGTTTCAATTTTGAACACGGCTTGACATCAATTAGAGAACCATTGGAAATCGGAGAGTACTTGGCAGAAGTTTTGTCCCAGTTTGAGAATCTTCGACAGCAGAGACCCATGATCTCCCCTTCCTTTGGGGATCGAATCTATTACTTTCGGGTTACGTGGCGAGTTCGTTGATCATTCAGCCACTGAGATAGAACCTTAAGGCCCATGAATTCTAATTTCTGTTAATTCGCGATTTTAGCGTAACCACCAACCGACATCATTTGTGAGCATTTTTCCTCACAACCGACTTGGTGGACCCCACTGGTCACAACTTTTGATTAGAACTCCAGGTGACGTCGTCCTTTAGCCAATCACTCGTAAACACCAGATTAATTTTCAAGTGTTAGCCTGTAGGGATTTGATTTATCTAATTACTCATTGACATCAGTTAAAGGGCAAATACTCACCGATGGCATTGGCTGGCGGTCACACTAAAATTGGGAGTCGATAGAGTTAGAATTCATGGGCCGTAAGGTTCTATCTCAGTGGTTCAATGGTCAACGAGGTAGCGACGAAACCCGAAAGTCCTGGGTTCGATCCTGATAGAATCATCGGTGCGTACTATTTATTTTCTATTTAGCTAATTTGTGTTTGAGCTGTAATGAAATTATGTACCTTCTTTATTCAGGTTACAAGCAGTTCGTAAGGAAACGACAAAATGGAAAAAATGGATCCGTTCTATTCTGATCTACTTAGTGCTATGAGTTTGTTTAAATTCATTAAAACAGGACTTTGTATGAAATCTAATATTCACTACTTAGGGAAACTGTTCAGTTGACTCATGAAAACCAATGAAAAAACCCGAATGAATGCTTATTGTTTGAACTTCTTAGAAATATCACTACGCCTTGTGATCTTAGCACATTTCGTTGTATTTGTAAAATTAAAAACCACGCGTTACGGATTCAAATAATGCACCCATTTACTATGAACGCACATCTCATCAGTTTTAAGTAATCAACTGGATACTACCTGACAGCACTTGTAGACCTTTCTTACTGCATATTCGAGAACTATCACGTACGTATTTCACCCTGTAACAATTCATCTAATGAGAATATCATAGTTCCTTCAAGGTTGCAGATACGCTTTGCTGACGAGTGCCAACTAGCACGAAACCTAGGTCCAAGGCTTCCTGCTGATTGCCTCCAACCATCTAATCAATGTGCACCGTGATGGCGAGCTACCGAGAATGGTGGCCACATTACAACCTGACTGATAAAATTCAATCTGCGCCAATGAGAGGACTAGACGCATCACACTAGTTACTAGTGTCAAATCAGAATATCATTCATTGGTCAACATACAATCAATATATAACGTGAACAAACCGAGTACTTTCGGAAAAGTTTAGGCACCTGATTATTGCTACTGATTCTCCCAAAACAAGTCTAACTTCTTGTGAACTGTAAGGACATACACAGATTAACTCAAATTCATATGTGATCTGGACGTTTAGTCTTCCAGCAAGACTGCAATCCCATTTGCATTTTTGACTTAATGTATAATTGTACCTATTTTCTCGTTTTTAGATGATTGTCACAAAGGAGAAAAATCTGAGTGCAAATTAACTACTGGACTAGCATTACACTGCATTACATTACAGCCTAATCACAATTCGAATCCGAGAATATTTTTCATTCCTTTCCCCTCTTTATTTGTACAAATGTAGTCTAATAAATATAACTATAAATGTGTGAATAAAACACAACGTACAACACTTACTGTGGTATTTTATGCTGAGAGGTTGCATCGACGGCCACTTTCAAGGCATATGTGCCAATCACTTGTGAGAACAGGTCATCTACATTTAGAATATGTCGACTAAGAAATCTAACAGCCTCTGAAATGATGCCTTCAGCTTTATCTGCGCCAACACCACTGGGTAGAGTACGTTCCGTGGAACGTAATGCAATTATAACCATAGCTGCTGATGGTACACGACGGTGACATTCTTGATCGATTGGGTCGGGCCATTTGTTTTTATCAATTCTTGGGGAAAATCGCCTGTCAACAACATTTGTTATATTCCAGCTACCAGAGAGCCGAACATCGATAACTGTCCTACCGGCGATATCGCCAGTATACGAACTAAACTGTTGGGTATTTTTTAAGTAATTGATGATTCGAACAAAAGTATCATCATCCACGTAAATGAGACGATTCCATTGAGTCTGTCTTGTCAACAATAAACTCCATAGTGCTATTGCAGTAACTAGTGGATCCGTTCTAGATAAAAGAATAAAGGGGAAGAATTTAAACGAATCACAAACTCATCAATGAAAAATGCAACCTCTTAGTTATGAACAGATTCCCATACTCACTAAATGGGCTTAGGTGACACCATAAGATATTTCTTCGTACATTATGCTTCGTTTAACACTAACTTACTTTTATATGCAATCAGACAAAATTTTCCTCTTCAGTGAAATGAATCTCAGCGTACAGATTTAAGAATATGGGAAATCCGTGTGCAGTGATGATTACTTAAAATCTGTTATTTAGATTCATGTTAGAGCTTTTCTGATTAATTCGTGTAATCCTTAGCATATAAAATGAAAGCGTCACAATAACCCTAGTTATTAGTTTACATCTAGTAAAATGACTCCCACTCCTATATCAGTGGAATACCCCCACCTGATACGTCTTTGAAGCTCCATCTGAAGCACCATTTTTTATTTTTCACTCCCTGGACTAACACTCAGCTTATCTTGTCTTCATTATTTGACTGCGGTTCATTACATGCCCACTATATCATATAACCATTATCACTGTTATCATTCTACATTTGTTTGCTTATATTTTTGTGGTATTAATATTTCTGTAACATCGCTGAATACAACTCACCCTTGCAACTTATGTTATACAAACCAAAACGAATCACTTAATTATTTATTCACATTTTATCTTATGTTTTCAATGACTATTCGTTTAGTATACATTCAATTAATAGTCTTATCCAAAGGATTATTATTCCAACCTGTTATAATTTTTGATTCTCTCATACTGGCAATTGTATTCAAGTGTTCATGAATTTATAACATTGTATACGCTAAAGAAGAAGTTACTAAAAACAGTTGCTCGCTCGAAATTTCCTTTTTAAACTGAGCACACTGAGGGAATGTTGAAATTACTAAATTAGAATTGAAAAATGAAAAGTTATTTTAGTCTTTTCAGTAAGTTTTCACTTAAAATCTTTTAGAGAGTAGTCAGCACTGAACAACTTGTGATAAGAAAAGTAAATAAGTATAATTCCGATTTCATATACTACCCTTATAACGCCTGAGTAATTATATAAGCTGAAATAGATGATTCGAAACAGTACCTTTTTGGAGAAAACACATTAAAGAACATATATTCAATAATGTAAAGATATGAGAAAGAAAAGACACAACTTAGAAGCCTAATGTGCCAGATATACATGGTGGTATATAGAGGTAAACCGACAAAACACAGGGTCGCGTTGACCTGTAGTCATTACAGTATCTGCTGTAAACGTATTCTGTACGTTGTTCACAGTATTTCAATAAAGAAAAAATTCCCATTAGACATTTAGAAAACAGAAAGATTGAACGAAGAAATATTTACTTTTCAATTAGATCCTCATCTCTGGCTCTACTCTAATATGTATAGCATTTTAATTACAATACAACAGTTTGCCAATCAAGTGGCGATGTTTGTTAACAATAATTAAACAGTGTCAATGGGTTAATAGTTAACGAAGAAAATCAATACAGATTTAAAAGGTAGAAATAGATAGAATAAATTAATTTTACAAGGATAACGCGTAAATTAAAGATGAAGTGGTCAAAATAAATAAATAAATAATTTAGACAAATATAATTTTTATAGGTTTAGGGGGAGGGGCGACGCAGTCCTGTTTATCCATTCTTGTGACGAAGGCCACGGTAGGGAAAGTGGCTGTACAAATTTTTCTGTACACATAGGCTTGGCTTCTTCAGGTGAATGCCAATCGCCTCAGCCGTCTGTAGAAGACGAACTCGCAGAGTAAAATTAAGATAAGTCGGAATGCGATAAATAATTTTAAATGCTGTATTAACATCAATCTTATGCTCAGTATCAATGAGGTGGGCTAAAATAGAGCTACGAATAGATCTTTTTTGTCCCTTACTCAACCACGTTGGATGATGTTCGGAAATACGACGATGAACTTGCCTAATTGTACGCCCAATGTAGCTGGCTCCGAAGCTGCAGTCAAACTGGTAGATACACATAGAGGAGGCGAATTTAGGTAGTTTATCCTTATTTCTCGAACATAAAATAGGTGTGGTTGTAAAGAGACAACGTACCTCTGCTGCACAGTATTTCAGTTAGAAACATAAGTATCATGTGAACTGAAACTTAGTAGACGGAAAATATGTAAATATCTAGTGTAAGACTTAACAAAACCCTCCCTGGGGTGAGGGACAATATTTACAAAAGTGTTTACACTGAATTACAAATCGATTCCATTTCTGGTTGTGATTAAAATCCTGAAAAAAGGAGGATTGTTATATGGCAACAGTAAGAATACTGTATGAAAAAAATACTATGACATGTAACAGAATCGTTAAATCATTCAGACACAAGATATTGATGATACCTTTTTCCACATGTTTTCTAGTATATGTATTCTTATTTCCCAGATGAAGAAACTGTGTTAATTCAGAAGTGCTAATAATGACCTTGAATAGTCGGTCTTATTAGGCTAGGCATTAGATGCCGGTGATACAAATCAATAAAAACGCATAGGTATGCATACATATGTGAAAGGAAGTCATTTCTATACACTAAATATTGACCAAAGAGAATGAATGGGAGGGAGGAGGAGGAAGAGGAAAATGCAGAGAGATAACCAAACCAGAGAAGAAAAAAAAACAGATGATCATTTAGTTTATTTATTTTTTTTTCACTTTACAACAATACAGAACAATACAAAATGACCTAGTGATTATGATAAGAAAGACAAGCTGCTTAACATTTGGTTTCACTTAAGTTTACTTTTCTCTTGAAACATGCACTTCACATTGTCACCAATTCATGTATAGTGTAAGCAGAGCATATATATATATACATCAAAAATAAATTGTGTTGGTTAAAGAAACCTACAGCTGACACTGCCTAAAATATAAATCCTGTCAAGGTCATAGTTTTAGCATTAATTACTTTAAGAAAAACAAAATACTTTTATTACTGATGACTAGCATTCGGTAATGTTAACTAGGACAACTGTAAAACAAAACAACTCACCAATTAGAAAGTGCTATTAAGATGTCGCAGTAGTAGCTTAGAAAAACAGTATGGTCGCTAATGTAACCAATAACATAGGTGTGCTTGATGAGGAGAAATTACGGTGAAAAATGCTTTACAGGTTATGAAACAAAACTTTTCTCTTGTTAATTAAATACAACAGTTGACAATGATTATTAACCGAATTAAAGAAATTCAGTATTTAATGTATCATTACAATAAAGTCATATTACTTGGCTGTAACTATAATAATTCTATAGAAAGAACACTGTGATTTCTTAAATAAAAATTACAGTCAGAATACACCGTAAAACGCCTAACTCCACTCTCTATATTATAATAATGTTCAAACAGACAACCAAAAAGATTGAATATTTACCGTCTATTTGCGGACAAACAAATTCTTAGTGGGGATGTGATTTCTTCATTGCTACAAGATAACTTTACTCACTTCAACTATCTATTAAATCTAGCTCTCCAGCTCATAAAAAGTCCATTCAATGCATCTACATAGATTACTATTTCTACAGTCTTTTATATCAACAAAAAGAAAACATGAAACATTTTTCCGTATTGTTGACAATTTCAGCAAATTGCTTTATAGACAGGCGAGTAAGCAAATCTCTTGAGGGTTACCAGGGGAAAACGATTGTTATACTAATAACAAATATTAAAAGGTCAATTTGTACTAAAGTTAGCGCTTAAATTAATGTCTAGAAAGATAATCAAACCTTAGAAATTAAATTGTTTATTTCAGAGAACACAACTATGCTAATATCATCTACTTGAACTACAAATTTCGCTTCACCACCATTTATATGCATTTTCTTTTATTAAAACCGTCATGTCTAAAGTAGAACAATATTTTTAGAATTGAGCTTCTTAATTTGTGAAGCACTTAGTACTAATTCATTGGCTTTTTCAGGGACTACTATTTCATACAAAATCATGAATGTTATATACACCTGTTTACTGATCTGAATTCTTTTCAGAAACAAGTTTCCCATGCAAATAAGTTGTCACTCAAACTTACTAATTATTATGATTGACTCAACTATCTTAAAGTTTAGGAATTCAACCATTTATTCAGAGACATTCTTAAACTTCCCTTTATTAACGATGTGTTAATGAAGAAATAAGATTAATATGATGTACACATAATAGTTTCATTTCATTGAATACATAGTGATAAGTCAGTAGCTGCTTGGTAAACTTCCTTTTCCAGTATTAACTCAATTCTTCATCGGAGTAGTCAAGGTTCCAGTAAAATGGATCAGTTATATGTTCAAGCGTGTTTCATTTACATTATGACATTCTACTTAAAAGACTGATAGTGACTGCGTTGGAATTCTCTCTATAGCTGGTGCCATATTATCAAAAACTATCTTAAAAATTCATTTGGATAGAATGGCTTTTATGGATTAAATTAAAAGTTGTTATGGAAGACTTCAGTCAGTGCTCTTTAACATAACATAAGCTTTATTCCAAATCAGTACTTGTGATACAGAATGGAATTCTCAGCATTTTACTACAATATTGCATCCAGTTTTTACATTAACAATAAATAAAGTTCTACATAGATTAAAGTTATCTCAGTCAGTTTTCACAACAACATATTAGCATGTCGGTAGCAAAGCCAAAATTTAAACAGTGTTTGAAGGTGTTAGAAAAGTAGATACTACTAGCATATTTACTGGCGTAAGCAATAGCAAAATGGTCGAGATATACAGAGTGTGAAAGAACGAACAAGAATGTTTTAAGTAGAGTTTGTAAGGAAGAGAAAAACAAAACAGCACATAACAAAAATAAATACAGAATGAAGAGCGAGAAAACGTTGTATGGTTCAAAGAATTGGCTCAAGTATTACCGAAATCATTACTAATAAACTGTTGTATAATCCCCTTAACATCTGCGTTTCCTAACTCAACAGTGAAGAAAAAAAGGCCGAGAATGTACTGAAGGAAATGCAGGTACATTGG